TCCCAGGAGCATTTAGCGGTGGTGTTGTCACCGCAGAGAAGCACCCGAAAGGCTTCTTGCAAGCAAACTCTCAGCCGCTTAGGTGGCTTCTTGTTTCAATCAAACGAAGGAGAGAGGAGACGGTTCAGCAGCAGCTACCTGTGGCAGCAGCTGAGCAGCAACTTCAACCTAGAAGAATCACGTTCACACAGCGATATTTGAAGCACCATTCCAAACCGCAAAAGCTGTCTAGAGGAGGTGGCGCCGATAGAAAGAAACACAAATCGACTTTGGGGCCACCTCCCAGCCGTTCGAGTGACCTACATCTCATGGTCGGGTTGTTTTCTTGAACTGGTTGTAGGCAAGAAAAGGTTGCTCTATGTTGACGGCTGGTGAACCTTGTCTCATCCCACCCTTCCTTGTCGGTTCCTCCCACAGCGATCACCACATAATACATAACCACATACATGTAGACACACCGCCCGCATCGGAGGAGCAGCTCTGTCCAGTGGAGGTGACAACGAGGCCCGGACGAGTGTATACCCTGTGATGCCATCTTTTTTGTGGTTTACTGCTCTGATGCTCGAAAATCTGCACCTACTGAACAGGAACCCACGGCTGAGAAAAAGTGAGGGTGGTGAAAGGTGATTATCTGAGCCGTGGACGGCAAGTGGGGCAGTCTCAAGACAAATAAAACCGTTACCGGCTGAACATCTAAAAAATATGACTCTTTTGTCCGAGCATTTATGTTCCCGCAACCGTCTAACTTTAGGGCTCAAACGAGATTCTCCAGCTTGCTCAGGATATTTCATCACCAAGACTGAGCGCCACCGTACGTGCCCCGCCACTGTGTTGTGTTGTGCTGTGCTGTGCTTCAATACGGAAATATGTTCGGCGGTTTCATTGAAGGTGTGCAGCGAACGTTCACACGAGAGCCCAAAAACCAAGCCTTCCGGGAGTAATTCTCCACGTCGGGCTGAATCATAAACAAACACTATTTTCGATGCTTATGAACAGTGGGTTTCGTGTCAGTGTACCATGCAGGCTTCTGTGCTCTGGTTCATGCTAGGAGTAGTTCTAGGCAACTACTGCCTTACCCGTGTCGCACCCCGAGCCCGCTGGAGAAACAACACCAGCACAATATGATCAGATATGCACGCAGTGACACAACTGCAGGGGTCGATCAAGGTCAACATATTTTGCTGCTTTGCTAGGTGGCCCTACCCCTCTCCAAGTCGGTCCTGTGGCTGAGATGCATTCCAGGACGGCCTTCAAGAGTCAGATTGGTCGTGTGTGGCTAGATCTAGCCTTGTTCTCCCTCACCAGAAAGGACAGCAGTGTAAGTGGAGAACGAGAGTGGTGCGCAGAATTTCGCTTACCGGCTGGCCCGTGGTTTGCTATGAAGACAAGGCGGATATCCAAGTGTATCCGTATGAATGGAGTGAGCCTAAACGCCAACACAACTGGTACATGTTGTAACACAGTGGCGGCTATCATATAGGGGAGGGTTGGACAAGCTGAAATCCTTTTAAATTGCGCCGCGGAGCGCGAAGCGGGACATTTTTTCATTTTCTCCCTTCATCCCTTGGAGGGAAAAAGCGGCTCTACACGTCGGGCTCTTCCAACCAACGCGATGGAGGGACCCTTCCGCAATTTCCACCTTATTATGAACCGTCAAAAACATATCGCCTTTGTTCGACCAGAACAAAAGCTCTGTAGAGCACCGATTCACAACCTGCTGGCTAGTCATGAGGAAGATTTTTAGGGCACTTCGTCACACCGGTTTGGTCGCGCTCCAACAACAGATGGCCGTGCTTGGCAGGCATTTGTCCCCAAAACCAAACGATATGTTGACCCTTCCCCGGGAGTTGGACGAGAGGTAGAGGAACACAAAAGCGGAGATCTCTCTCTCACACACACGCAGCAGTTGCTCGGTTTAAACCAGGAGAAACAGAGGAGAACGCTCAGCTAGACACGCAACATCGCTGGGAGCGGCAAGACAGCACTGGCGAGGAACGGGAGCCATACATACAGCTCGTGGCGGATGTCATCGTCATTGCTGTTGATTCGGTGGATGGGAAGGGATCATCGGTAGAAAAACAAACCTACTTTGCGCCTGGGGGGGGGGG